AAAAATATTTATTATGGTACATTAAAAAATCAACCAGTTATTTTCAAAAAACTGGCGCATCAAAGTGAATGGATTATGTTTGATGTTTGTCGTCACAACTCATCATGTTTTCAACAAATAAAAACAACTTTAACAACACTTTTACCTTGTTCTAATTCAACATTTATTTCTAAATTTCAAAATGCGTAAGTTAAAAAATTTATATACTTCTACAAAAAAGAAAAAAAAAAGAAAATATGATCTAATTCAATAGATTTATTAGTTCAACTGGTTTTAATATTTCTGAAAGTAAAATATCATTAGAAACAACTTTACAAATGAATCTTGAACCTATTGTACTATCAGTATGAATTATAAATAATGTATCTATGTTGTTTTTTTTTATTTCAGTATTTTTGTCTTAGACTTTATCTAATTCTGGTCTTCCTATTCCATTGTATTATGGTGCATGTGGTCGAGTAATAGTTGTTAGTAATGAAGGATCGAATCTTGTATTTTATCGTCATTCATCATTTCAATTTCGCGTATGTTTTTTTTTTCTATAATTAAGAAACTTTTTCTTTCCCTGAAACAAGAAAATGGTAGGAACTCAAAACGAAGAATTCGGTGACTGATCTTGCTTTCAAATTTTTACTATTCAATTGAGTTTGTCTGCCGGAAATTCATGAATCCGGACGTCGGTCGGAATCATTGACCTAGATAAGCATCGATTAGAAAAGAAGCAAAATAAATAGAAACACCATTTTTTAATTATTACAATTGATCTCTTGATATTTATAGGTTTTTCTTGCTCGAGAACTTCTCATTTCAATGCATGAATTAAACACAGGAAATTCTGATATAATTATTTATTATCCAGATATTAATCTAGAAAATTTTGTCTATAATCAATATGAACGACGTGTAAAAATTATTGATTTAGAATATGTAACTATTGTTGAACGAAGTTTATTTTTCAATACAAATATTGATGATGATGATGAGAATAGTTGTGGAAAAACATTAAATTCAAATAAATATTGTAATACATACATGCCTGATTACAATGTGAAACAAGGTAATATATATATCATAGAATATTTGTTTTTATAGAGTTTTTTTGGTGAAACATACTTTACGTGATTGTTTAGTGTGCCGTTATATATTATTACCATCGATGGAAACGAATGAAAGAGACATGTCAAGTAATTTTCTTCACAATATTCCTGAAAATATCAATCATCAATGGAATCTAACAAATGTGATATTAGCATGTGCTCAAACCAAATCAACTAGTGAACGATTAGCTCTCTATGAGCAACTTCTGAAAATTTTGAGTAACATAATGTAATATACCCAAGTAAAAGTAGTGAAAGAGAGAGGACGCTGCTAGCCAATCGATCATTATATGGATGTTGAATGATTGGTCCAATAATGATTAAATTAGCAATGAATCATACCATAATATAGGTTATTTCCATTGAAAAGTATACATGTCATGAATGATATTATAAAGAAATGATTTCTTATCTTTCTTGTTATTTATTGCTAAATAAAAATCTATTAAATAAATTATGTTTCTATTATTGATGACGGCTTGACAGTTGTCACATGACTAAAGATAGAATAAAAGAACTTGAAAAAAATGTAAGATTAATTTTATTTATAGTTTTAATATTATTTATATATATATTTGTTTTTCTATTTTGAAAGAGACCATGGCCAACTGTTTCGTATAGAAGACTATCGCAACAAGTATTAAACTTCTAACCGCGTGCAAAATATGCTCATAGTTTAGAAAAAATTAATAAAAAAAAACACTTATCTTAACTAATACAACAAACAAAATCTAGAGGACGAGTGATGTGTGTATTATTGCTTAACTAACATCAATATCTTATGCATTTTTAGTTTGTTTATATTGTATTTCGTATTTAAATAAGAGAAGACAGCAATGAACAAATTTCGTTTTTTTTTTCTTTTTATAGTTTCAAAAGCAGGCCACTCAAAATGAAAATAGTCATTCTACAACAATTGATATTGATGATGATAAATTGGTTGTAAATGATTTTCTACACGAAGTATAAATTTTGAATCTTTGTTTTGATAAACAAACATGTTTAAATAATTTATCCTTAGACTGATCTTATTCGAACAAATATTGATAAAATTGATGAACTTATACAAGAAGTTAAACGAATTCATAGTGAAATGCTTGAACCAATGGCAAATCCAAGTAAGAAGAAAATAACAAGACATTTTAATATAGTCGACTTTTCATTATGTTTATAGAATTAGAACATGAACTTGATGATAAAAAAGAAGAAATAAAAAAATTATCATATGAAGTTTCAACAAAACTTAAAAGTAAAATACAATAAAGAAATAAATATTGATCTATATTTATTTTATTCTATATAGAAATGGAACAAATAAAAGATAATTGTAATGATCATGATAAACAAAATGCTCAATGGCGTATACAAGAATCACAAATATTTGTATTAACTAGACGTCTTCGTGATACAATGATTCAATATAATCAAGAAACAATTGCACATCGTGATCGATGTAAAAAAATTATTGTACGCGAACTTGAAATATGTAAGTTATAGATGACAATAAAACAACAACAACAACACATTTATATTCAACAAATATTTGTTGTTAAAAAAACAACAACATGAATTTTCTTATTGTATAGACACATAGAATAATAAAATGATTCATAGTATCAATTTTGAAGTAATCAAAATCTGTTTATCAGTAATTATTTGACTTATGAATAGCACAACACAGACATAAAATTGGTAGAATTTTAAAAAAATATCCGATAAGATAAAATTCATACGTGTCTTATGTCATTTGCTAAATATTATTAAAAATTAACATGTATATCGTAAAGAATAGATTATTATTCAATTATAATAACAATAGGTTCTCAAGTATATATTTCAATTTCATAGTCATTGTATACTTATTGATAATATTTAAAATAGATGTTATTACATATATTATTCTAATCGAGAAGAACGAAGAGTAAATAAGCTTTTAGACTACTTATATTTGAATCTTAATCAATATTCTCGATCTCGATGTTCATAGTTAATATTTCAATAGATCAACTCTCTCTCTCTGTTTAGTATTTTTGAATAACAATAGCAAATGAAAGAAATTGTATATAAAATATATCTCATAGAAATAACGAAATCAAGTAATATATGTAATACTATTTTGATTAGACTTATTCATCTTGAAACTCAATAATCTGCTTTAATGTAAAAAAAAGGTTTTTTGGAATTTTTAAAACAAAATAATCGATAAACAGAAATCCTATTCAAATATATATATTTATATGATTTATTTTTTCTCTTTTTCATAGCTGGAAATCGGAAAACTGATGATGAATTAGAAGATTTACTCGAGAATGGTTTTCCTGGAACATTTAATCTTTCGGTACAATTTCTTTTTTTTTTTTTTTCATTTAATTTTAAAATTTTTTGTTTTTTGATTATCTTAAAATCTAGATCATAATTGATACGCAAAAAGCTAAACAATCATTAGATGCAATTGAAGCACGTCATCGTGATATAATTAAACTTGAAAATAGCATTAAAGAATTACACAATATGTACTTAGATTTAGCTATGCTTGTTCAAAATCATGTAGAATTGTTTTTTTTGTTTCTATAATTTTATTTTTTTCAAATTTTTTTATTATAAAAGGGTGAAATGATCGATCGTATTGAATATAATGTAATAAAAGCAGCAGACTATGTTGAAGACGCAAAAGACAATGTAAATACAGCTCACGAATATGCTAAAAAATCTGCCAAAGTAGTAAAATAAATTTCATTTATTTTTTGTTAGTATAATAAAAATTTCTTTTTTTTTATTTGTTTTCTTCTAGAAAAAATTTTGTATTTTAATTATTCTAATTACAAGTATCCTTCTTATTCTTATTCTTATTCTTATTGGTTATTTTACACAAAAAAAATTTTTAGGAAAATAAGCAAATATTAATATTTGGATTATTATTTTTTTTTTTCTTTTTTATTTTGTTTCATGTTCAATTAACTTATCTATTTAATTAATATTTCATTTTTTTGTGTACTTGTATAAAATTGACCAGGATGAATATATGTTCTTTTTTTTTTTTTGTTTTTTTTTCGTCTTTTATTAGTTAAAAAGAATCAAATAAAGAAATCAATAAATACGAGTTTTTTTTTTCCTTCAAATTTAATCACAGTTTCGAATTAACACGAAGTCTAGAATATTAAAAATTAATATTTCTAATTATTTTTTAATAGAAAAGAAAAAACAAACAACATACTTATCAAATGTTGCAAGACGATAAATACCAACAATACATGCACCACCTAAACCAATATTATGTTGAAGTCCAATACGAGCACCTTTAACTTGTCGTTTATCAGCTTGATTACGTAATTGCCAACAAAGTTCAGCACATTGTGCTAAACCTGTAGCACCTAATGGATGACCTTTAGAAATTAGACCACCACTAGGATTGACAACATATTTTCCACCATATGTATTATCACCTCGTTCGACAAGTTCACCAGCTTTTCCTAAAAGTATTGTTTTGCTAAATAAATAAATTTAAATATTTATTGATCAATATTTACCTTCTTCGCAAAGACCAAGAGCTTCATATGTAATCAGTTCATTAGCCGAAAAACAATCTAAAAAGATATGATTATTTTTAAATAGATTTTAGAAGATATGTATAAAGAATATTCTGTTTCTAAAATTTTTCTAATGTCAAAGATTTTCGTACGTTTTTCTCTGAGTAATTTAAATGTATAGCTAGTTCACAATGATGCAAAATGAAAATAAAAGATAAATTTTGTATATGTTTTCATAATAAAATGAGCGTCTCATTTCAACCTAATGCCAAATTACGAGCTGTATCCATTGAATTGAATGTGTAAAGATAATTGTCTCAGCTGAAACTATAGATTAATCTTGAACATTCATTGTGGATGAACGCTTACATATGTGAAGCAATTTTTTCTAACAATAAATTGATTGCGTACATAATTAACATAATCTAAGCTGGTATGTTAATCAAGATTCAACAAATATTATGTAGAGACAAATACATAACGACAAGTATTATGTAATTTTGATAAAACAAAAGAAGAAGTACACTAATAGTTAAATTCTTTCTATGAAATAACTTATCATTTGCATAATGTTATCAGTAAATCGAAATTCTCGAACAGTAAAAGTTCACATACTTGTTTATTTCAAGAAATTTTTGTCTTAAAACTATTATTTTGTGAGTAATACTCAATTAGTTTAAGAATCTCTTCTATATTATTAATAGATTACCATGTAATTCTACAACTTGTACATCATTTGGTTTAATACCAGCTTTTGCATAAGCTTTTTCAGCAGCACGTTTACTCATGTCATAACCAACCTAAAGAAATTTTCTTATAATTTATTTTCAATAACGAGGAAACTTCGCCAACTGTCGGACGCCGTTTGAGCCCATATTTTAGCTATGAGTAGGACTCAGTGAGACTAAGAAAATCCTAAAAGGATTCGAGCCCATAGCCTATTGGTCAAGAGTTATGATCATTTTAGTGCATTTTTGGTCTGTCCATCGGCATTCACTAGAAAGTCAAATTAAGAGACTTCGATCTGAAATTTCACCCCAAAATAGGTCTAATGACCCTGGAGATATCCTGAAAATTTCAGCACAAACAAACGATCCTTTGTCAAAATATCGAATTTTCACGTAAACTCGATTTTTGGGTAAAGTCTGTGAAAAGCGACCAGTTTTTGAAAATTCAATATTTTGACAAAGGATCGTTTGGAGTCCTACTCATAGCCAAAATATGGGCTCAAACTGCTTCCGACAGTTGGGGAGGTTCGCTCGTAAGAAAAATTCTTGGTGTTTTTTTTACTATTCGCATGCAATCATTTGAATTGAATGTTGATGGAAGATCAGTTGCCATTTCAATAGCAAGAATTTCAACAGCATTTTTTTGTGCTTCAGGATGTTTTAAAATATAATTTTCATTGACAACAATCGCTGCTGCACTACCATCTGATGTTGGACTTAAAAAAAGAATTATATTGTATTTAAAAGATATATGTTTTAATTTTTACCAGCATTGTAATTTAGTTAATGGTTCATGGACCATAGGTGAATTTTTGATTTCTTCTAATGAATATTCATCACGAAATTGTGAATATCTAAGAGAAAAATTATGAAAAAAATTTTTAAAAAAAAAAAAAATAAAAAGAATTTTCTTATTGTAAATTACGGATTATTTATTGAATGTTTATGATTTTTTAAAGCAATTTTAGCTAATACATCTGGTGAAACATCTATTCAAAATAAAAGTGTTACTGGTGACTTCTTATTTTTCAAATAACTTACTATATTTTTTCATATAATCACGAGCAGCATTACCAAAAAGTTGAGCAGCCGCTGGTGAAGTTGAAAATTCATATTTTTCTGACATTTTTTCAATATGTTTATCAATTGGATTTGTACGATCAGAAAACTTTCAACAATAGAAACAAAAAACAAAAGGTGATGAGGGAGAAAAAAAAAGACAAAAATCTCATTTACTGCTGATGATAATGAACCACGTTGCATTTTTTCAAAACCAAGAGCCAATACACAATCCGCTAAACCTTAATAATAGAACAACATAAAAACATGATAATAACAAAAGAAAAACTATAGTTTATCTATTTTCATACCTCCGGCAACATGTTTAGCAGCTAAATATAAGGCAGATGAGCCTATGACAAACAAGATAAAAATATTGTTTAATGAATGAAATATATGGTCCAACCAGTGGAACAATTGTTATTGACATTGATAATAGGTAAGCCAGTCATACCAAGTGGATAAAGAGCACGTTGACCACATGTACTATCACCTTGAATAAATATACATATAGATAATATAGAGGCGCGCGCAGAATGGTTAAGTTCTGAAAAAATAAGCATTGCGTAGACAACTTTCAAAAGTGGAAAGTGCCATGCCTCTGAGATAATATGAGCTGCAAATACTTCAAAAAGAATTCGAACTCTTAGTTTTGTTACTGTTGCGATACTGCACTTTTACGGTGTATTTCAAGTCGATATCGTTGTCTTCTTTCAGGAACACTAGAGAAATTCATTTTCGAATTTTGACTTGAAGTTTTGCATAGAGACTGATCTTCATTACAATAGTTTATTGTGAGAGTTTACGATTCATAGATGTATCATAGAATACGAAAATTTCTATAATTGTCCAAATAAACTATTCTCAGTGAGCCTAGTCTCTACGAAAAGTAGTTTTTCTAGGGTTTCTAGGGAGGAACAAAGTATTCATTTAAAAAATGCCGTAAAAATGCAATACTTCAGAAGCAATAAGCGAAGGACTTAAATTCATTTCAATGTACTCATAGCTCAATAGTGTCTACATGATGCACATAGTCTCGACTTGAAAATGATTAATCAGTTAGAGGACTTCGCTCATTAGATAAGTTTAAAAATGAAATATTTCGATTGTTTTTAATTAATATTTTTCTGTAAGCTAAAATATAAAACTGCTATTTGAATTCATTAATCATTTGAATTTGCGAATAATAAATGCTTTAGTGTAATATTGAATAAAAGAAATGATATGTTATTTAATTGAAAAAAACCGGTTCTCCTTAACTTCAATGTCATATTTGACTAATTTTTATCATACTGAATCCATACGTAGAGATTATTTGCACAAAATTTTAATAATCTTGAAACCATCAATGTATATAGCTCTTATTTGGTTTTATTCAAAAGGTAAAGAAAGACTTCTGAAGTGAGCAAAGAAATTAGTTACAAGTAAAAAATAGACTTTTCTCTTCTTGACAACGTAAGTAAAGTATTTTCTTTGTTATCCAAAAAAAAATTGATTTTCCTTAAGTTTTCTATTTGGAAGAAAATCGCAAGCTAGATCTCTCTCTCTCTTTCCAAAAATTCTATGACCTATCAATTTATCGTACAGAAATGCTATACTATTTTCGTAAAAGTTAACAAAACATTCTTTAATATCCTATTCCACTTATAATATAGGATTAATTTCTTTTTGTACCATAAACATAGCCAACAAAAGCTTGTTCAAGATCTTTATATGATATTCCAGCATCTTTAATAGCCTTTGTAACAGCTTCTTTAGCCATATCTGGATAATCGAAATCTTCTCGTCGACCTGGTTTTTCAAACTAAAAATTATTTAACATTGTATTTTAAAAAAATGGAATTTTTTCATAGACAAAAAAATTTCCTCAACCTTGGTCATGCCAACACCAATAACAAAAACCCGATTCAGTGCCCTATTCATGTTGAAATCTATACCAATAGATTAGTTGATACACACCTACCAAAAAAAGAAAGACCTTTTTTCGTTTTTTATCTATCTATCAACTGGGGGGTTGTAGATAAAAATAATGACTCATCGATTAATTCTGATTGGTTAAAATTCTCTGTTTATAGTGCACAAATGTTTTGATCATAAATGCAGTAAAGCAAGAAAAAAGCAAATGTCAACTTCAATGGCATTCTATCATGAATAGTTTGTTGGTTAGTATTCCAATACATATTGAATAATGATTCATCGAGTTTCTTTTTTTTTGTTTCTAGTTTCTATACAACAACTCGATTGTATATAAATCGATATGTCATAACTTTTTTGTTTCAGATTTCTTCCAATGTCATGATTTGTCTAAAAGAAATCTAAATCAAATACAAGTAAACTTATTCAATGACAAAAGATCGATTGCCCGCTTTGCGGGCTGTAAGTTTCCTTTTTTTTTTTCATTTTACTTTATTTAAAATAAAATAATTAAAATAAAATTTAAGGCACAAAATGCTGAAGATAGCGATCCAGATGCCGCCTATGTTGCACTTAATATGGATGATAATAGTCGTTTTATGTCCGATTTTTTTGCTCATGTCGATTCCTTACGAACAAATATCGATAAAATAAGTGAACTTGTTGATGAAGTTAAACGTCTTCATTCAACAATATTAGCTGCACCACAAGCTGATGATCGAACAAAAGAAGAATTAGAAGAAAAAATGGCTGATATTAAAAAATTAGCTAATGATGTTCGATTAAGATTAAAAAGTAAGAAAAAAAAATTAAAATAAAATTAGAACAAAAAAAAAAACAATTTAAACTCGAAAATTTCTTAATCTATCAAATAAAATAAAATTTAGCTATGGAAACTGAAATAGAACAAGAAGGAAATGAAAATGCATGGCGTACAGCCGATTTACGTATACGAAAAACACAGGTGCCATGTTTTTTCTTTTTGTCAATGTTGTTTAAATCTGTATAGACATATTTATTTATTTTAAATGTTGTTTTGTTTTGTGATTCTTTGTTCCTTCTTTTTTTTTTTTTCTATCCCCATCTTACAGAAATGGAAGATGATCAAGAACAAACACCAAGTACCAGTCAAGCACAAACACGTATTGGAAAAGCACAGGTAGTAAATAAAAAATTAATATAGACGACACCATACGACGATCTATTAGAGTTTTTCTTCATTCCTTGCTGGTTTTTTTGGGTTGTTGTATTTTGTTGATAAATTTTAATAGAAAAATAAGCTTTTTTTTTATCTTCAATTTTCATTTAATTTAGCATGCAACATTATCACGTAAATTTATTGATGTAATGAATTCATATCGAAATGCTGAAATTGAATATCGAGAACGATGTAAAGCTCGTATTCAACGTCAACTTGAAATCAGTGAGGAATATCTAAATATCTTATTGTCGTATTGTGTCGTTTATGCTTGATGTTAATGTTGCTTTTTGTATTTATGTTGTTTTGTGTTTCATAGCTATTTGTTTTAACACAAAAATTTCGTGACGTTATGAATGATTATAATCAAGTACAGGTTGGTTATCGACAAAAATGCAAAGAAAGAATACAGCGACAGCTTGAGATCAGTGAGAAAATTTTTTCTTGCTTTTAATATTGTTTTTTTAGTTTTTTTTTTTTTACTAATTCATTTAAATAATAAAATATTATTGAATTTCTCTAGCTGGACGATCAGTAACTGATGGTGAAGTTGAAGAAATGCTTGAATCTGGAAATCCAGCTGTATTTACACAAGGCGTAAGATAAAAAATTAAGTTTTAATTAGAAACTTCTATCTGATATATTATATAGATTATGGTTGAAACAGCACAAGCTAAACAATCACTTGCTGATATTGAAGCACGACATGGTGATATTATAAAATTAGAAAAAAGTATTAAAGAATTACATGATATGTTTATTGATATGGCTGCTCTTGTTCAAACACAAGTAAATTTTGATTTAAATTTCAAAATAACTTTTTCGTATTATTTTATTTCATAGGGTGAAATGATTGATCGAATTGAATTTAATGTAGTTCAATCAGAAAATTTTGTCAAAGCTGCAAGTACAGATACAAAAAAAGCAGTTAAATTTCAAAGTGCAGCTCGACGGGTAAGTTTTAGTAAAGCTAAAAACAAAAAAAAATCACAAGCACATCTATATTGTGAATGTAAAAATGCATGCTTACTAAATGTTGATGAAAAGCTTTCTTTTTTGTTTTGTATTTTACTGATCTATAATTTATAATGCTGATGATTCAATAGGGATTTCGAAATCATTTTTCATTATTTTCAATAATCATAATAAATAGGAACTATTTATTTAGAAAAAAATTATTCTTATTTTAATCCTGGTGATTGTTGTAATTATTATTGTGCTTATAATTGTAATTTATTTTGCAACGAAAAAATCTTGAAACAGCTTACCATAATCAGAAAGAAAAAAAAAAATAATCATAATCAATGCTATATCAGAATAGATAGATATTATATAAGACAAAAAAAAAAAACTATTAAATCTCAATGCTCGCGACATGGTTATTAAATTAAAAAAAAAAGGATATAGAGAAAATCACTATAAACAATTTTTCGTTGTGTTTTTATTTTCTTATTTGAAGAAATTAATTATCTGTCTCGTAATTACTGCTATATTGGTCGTCGTCTTGGTGATAATTATAGCAATCGTCGTATCAAAAAAAAAATAATAATAATCATTAGATGTCTTTTTAATATTTTGGTTTTTTTTTTGTTTTTTAATTAATGTATACTTTTCAAATCCATGAATAGTCCTTTTTGAATGATTGATAATTTTTTTTTTTTATTTGAAAAATCATAAGAGAATTTACGACACAGATATATATGCTTAATGTCTTTCTATTATTTTTCCTTCATATTTTTTTTTAATGTTTTGTGTGTTTTTATGTGCATGTGATTTAAGTAAAATATATATTGATATTATTATTCATTTTATTTATTTTTATTGTATTTTTGTGGCTTGTTTATTTGTCATATTCATTGAATTACACCTATTTATATAAATCAAAAAAAAAAAAAGAAAAGTGAACACTGTATCATATTTCTCACAAACCCCCTATCCTGCTTAGGTTTTATTGTTAAGTAAGTCAAAAAAAGTCAATGTATTCATATAATGATTATTGACTGTTCATGGTATTTGCTATTTGCTTTATGCCCCTTTTAAGATCTGAATCGTCATTAACTTAGAATGATTTAACACCATTCAGTCTTTCTTTTTCTCATCGCTTATTCTCTTCCGGTTCGTTGCCTACGACTATTAAATTATCCTTAGTCTTTTTTTTTTCTTCTTTTCTTCATCATTACTAACAGTCAGACAGTCTGATATATCCACTTCAAAATACACATAATATATTCTTTATTATAAAAAAAAAAAAGTGAGTGTTGCCTATTCATAGTAATTCACACCATGTCGGCGTTCATAGCTCATTTAATAATCGGTCTCACTTTAAATGCAATGCAATAAGTGAAAAACATAAAATAGCAAAAAAAGAAAAGAAAAACGTTGTAACTACTCAATATGTTTTATGTCTTTGATTTTAGCGATGTTAATTTGTATCTATGTTCGTTGATGTATTGTCTGCATGTTGTTTTGTATTTTGTTGAAGATTTAACAAAAAAAAAAAAAAGAAAAGAGAAAAAAAAATGGAATGATTTTTGTTTTTTTTAGAAAAAAATTATTATACTTATTTGTTTGGCTGTAATTATTGTTATTCTCGGATCGATGGTTGCCGGATGGCTTGGCATCAAAAGATAGCGTAAGTTAAAGAGAAGAAACAAAACAAAAAAAAACATAAAAGTTACTGAATTAAAAACCTTTTTTTCTTTATTATTTACACGAGTTCGAAACAATAGGGAAATCTATCAATTTAGATTTCCGTTGTTAGAACCTCGTAATTATAATTTGACTTTTGTCTTTCGTGAATATGACAAAAGAGGAAGTTAGACTGACAATAAATCTTGATTATGATACATAATTTAGATAGTCAAAGGAATGACAAAATCTTAATTGAATGTTATTCTATTCTTTTAAGCAATATAAATATAAAAATTAGTTTTTCTCCGGAAACACTCTCTCTTATTTTTACATGTAGAACATGAATAATTGATGATTTTTATAGGTTAAAACAATGAATTTGTTGACTTATTGTTAATTTATTTTCCTTTTTTTTTTTATAGATATGTTCAAATCAAATCATAGGATTGTGGATGTATCAATTTTAATAAATTTCCAATTTTTAGTTCTTTGTTTCCCTAGGCTATATATATATATTTATAAGCAAAAAAAAAAAGAACAGCATTTTAATGTTCTTTTCTTTTATGTTCGTACGAATATTAGCATATATTAGATCATAATGATTGATAAATTCAATCAATTAAAATTAAAAAAATTTGTTCTTGTTTTTTTTTGTCGCTTTTTGTCTACGTATGTGTTATGTCAGTCAAGTCAGATGAATGTGCGTTATGTTTTTCTTTTTTTTTTTTTTTTTTGTAAAACCACGAGATTTGAAGATAAATTCCAGGAGTCATTTTTTTTTTTTTGTTTGTTTGTTTATTTATTTTATTTCATTTGGATAATTATGCAAAGAAATAGGGGAAAAAAAAGAAAATAATAAAAAATTCTTGCACTCTTTTTATGCCTCTTGTGAGTCTATTGTTGTGTGCACACATGCGCGCGCTTTTTATCATGTTTTTTTTTTTTTCTTCTTTTTTTTTTTCTCCGTGTCTGTGTAATGCAGTTTGGTCTATCTAGTCTGTCGTTACCCGCAATTCTATTTTCTCTTTTTCTTTCTTTCACTCTCTTTTTTTTCTCTTTGAACATGCACACATATTAACCTTCTTTTTTTTCCCAAATAGATTATTATTTTTGTTTTCCATGCACAGAAAATAATAAAGGTGGACGAGCAATGTATTTACGCACGACAAAATAAAGAAAAACAGCTTGAAATAATCGGATTGAGAGACATACAATCATTGAATGTCTGACTTCTTCGTTTTTTTCGTCATATATATATATGAAGAAATCTGATAGATTAAAATGTAATTTAGAAAAAAAAAGAAAACAGTTTATTAGATATTAATTCGATTTTAAATATGGTTCAAGCCATGTCTCATATGCAGAAAGTTTAACATAAACACCCGGAGCTATATGTGGTGTTATTGCTGAACCATAAGATGTTATACCAAGAACAATCCAACGACCATCAGATTGACGTATAAGTAAAGGACCACCAGAATCACCACTCTATATAAAAAAAAAAACTAATTAGTTTTTTAAATGAATATTAAAATTTATTTACCATTGTATCTGTTCGTTGATCATAATCACCAGCACAAATTTCTGTTGTTGGATCAAATATATTATCATAGACATGACGGCAATAATTATCGTTAAAAATTCGTATATCAGCTAAAATTATTTAAAAAAAAAAAAGATTAATTTTTCTTTTCCGAAATTGAATTTAGTTATGATTAGATGAAAAGATTTCTTTCTTTTTTTTTTGTTCTCGTAAGTTTTATATTTGTATAAATTGATTCGATCGTTTTCTTTGAAGAAAGAGTATAATTACGATTATTCTTCCGTTACATTTACAATAGAAGAATTTATGAAGTAGAACATATATTTAATTCAATAATTGAACGTCTTTTAAAGTAGTATTATTATATCCAGTCTGAAAGTCGAGGGCACAGTGTTCCTCTGAATATCAAGTTGACTCGATCAGAATTTTTACAATACTATCAAAAGTTTCAAATCAGTAATAATGATCTATATTTTTTTTGTCATTCGAAAATTTCTAAAATATACCTTGTTGTAAAGTAAAACTTTTAATAAGATTGGTTACTTTATTTTGTGAACTTTCACCCCATCCAATAATAACACCTGTACGATTAATTAAATCTTGATCATTTTCTAAAGTAACTTCTGATTGAAATGGTAAACATACAGAATTTATTTTCGGTCCAAAAAGTACAGATTTTGATAATTTAATCACAGCTAAATCATATTTACAACATGTTTGAAATTTTGGATGTCGATGTATTGATTTAATTGAATAATAATTTAATGGATTTAATTTTCCAAGTATAGTATGTACACCAATAATTGCTTTTATTTCATTAACTGTTGTATGTAATAAACAATGTGCAGCTGTTAAAATTGTATCTTCATTAACAAGTACACCTGCACAACTCCAACCTTGACGTGGATTTGTAAATAATGCAACCATCCATGGCCTTAAAATAAAAATTCATTTTTTTTTTTTTTTTTTGATAAATAATAAATTAAAATGAATTGATTTTTTTTATTTTATTTTTATCGTTTTGCTTACCATGTATGCCATATAGCATCATCACCACCTTTTATTTTTGCTAGAATATTTGATTGTTTATTATAAATTTTTGGTTCATCATCAATAGCATATCCACAACCTCTTGTTGTCATTAGATGATGTGTTGATTGTGAATGACCAATAAAAAAAGCTCGAAAACGATAAAAAAATTCAAGAAGTTGACTTTTTACTTTATCGGCTGTTCGAGATAATTTATTTATAAATTTTCCAAATTCTGATGCTTTAATATGCGTTATACTATTTAAAAGAATAACGAGTAGTATAAGATTTATCATACGAGGCATGTCTATGAAAGATTAGTATGTCTCGTTTGGACCAATATTACCATCTGCTCTCATGCCCATAGGATATACAAAACATTTCTTTTCTTTTCTCTGGGGGTTTTTTTTTTTTTTTCTTCTTCTTCTTTTTTGATCCAAGATCATACATGGATAAGTAATGATAGAGAGAAAGAAAAAAAAGACGAGACATGACTATGTACAAATATCTGTTCTTTTTCTTTTTGTTTTACCATGTTCAATGAAGAGTTATTACGTATAACTATATGCAAAAACACAAAAAAAAAAAATAAAACGAAAGTCTTATTGATAGAAATATCTGTTTATTAAATAAAGGAGACGGGAAATAAAATTTTCTTTTTTTTTTTTTTTGTCCTAAGCCAATATTTCTTTCAAACATTGATTGCAAAGATAGAAACAAAATTTGATTAACACAAATCGATTATATATAATTTACTCACATTTGAACAATAGAAACATTAATTGATAGATTAATTTTTTTTCTTTTACTTATAAAAATAGATATTTTTCTGTTTTTAATATGATACAAAAACGTGAGATTTAAAAACAAAAAACAAAAAAAAATTTTCTAAAATGAAATCTTTTCGACTTGTTTTTTATTTTTTTTTAAGTCAGATCTTCATATTATTATATTTATACGATTGATTAAATTATAGGAAAAAAAAAGAAAAAAAATGTATTCCAGCTGATAAAAATAACCTTCATTTATCTCCAGATGATAATTATTGAATCATTCATTATTTGATGATAAACATACATCTATGTACAAAAAAATAAGAAATTTAATAACAAAGAAAATGTTTCTTATAACTTTATTTTCTTCTATTATTTGTATGACCTATTCTAGCTCAATAGGTCATCATGTGACCTATGATGTTGGTAGTTATGATGTTATATGACAACGATAAATAACCTTGTTATAATAATAATAGGACTTGTCAAGTGCAAAATTTTTCGTTTGTTTTCTTCGTTATCTAATGACGATATATATAGTTTAACTCATGTTGATAGAATTTTTTTATTTATTACAAATGAAGAAAAGGATGTAAATTTTTTTTTCACAATCAAACAAAAAAAAAAAATTATTGCTTTATTTATGGTAATTGAATTAAAGTCAAGTGATTTAAAGAATACTTCATATTTGAGATTTTTACAGTTTTTTATTCTTGAATATAATTTCATTTAGCATATCGATATATGTTTGTCATATTATGCACTATTTATTGTATAACTATGTTGGGTAAAAATTGAAATCAAGGAAAATATGATTGAAAAAATCCTCGTCTATTTACAGAGATAAATGTTTGTTTTTTTTTTACATAAATGATGGACAATATTATTCTTTTAATAATGAGAATTATAATATGATTTTTATTTTTGATTTCGAAAAATTGAATAAAAAATTTGAGATTCAAAGCAAATCAAAATAAGATATAACAAGTTGATGATGATCATGTTTTAGTTTTCATTCTGAAAAAACTCGAATATTCAACTATAAATTATATTAATAATATTTATTTATTACTTCAAAAACTAATCATACTCTTTTAAATTACTAAGAATTATTTGTTTTTCTTTTAATCAATAGATTTGCAATAAAAATATTTTCATAAGTGATAAATTATAATACACTTCTATAAAAAAAAACTTGTAGTTTTTTCTTCTGTATGTCGTACACTACAGAATACCTTAAGCAAATGTGAATATCTATAGTATCATTTCTATTATTATATTAGATTATTTAATCCACTGATTATGTCAGTTCTAAAGGGACATATGTCTAACATGTTAGGAAATCATGTTAACAACACAGTAAGAAAGAAAAGAACAAATTGTAGATATGAGAAACAAAAAAAAAAAAACATAAATACTAGAAGTTTTCCAAATATTCTATAAAATATAAAAATTTTTCTATATCCAGTAGTATCATCGCGTCTGCTATACTATGTTATAACATTTATCTTGTAGTCGATGCAAAAACATCAATTTGTAGAATGTTGAAATTGTCATTTGTTGTTTTTTTTTTTGTTATCGAGTATTTCGAGCATTTAATAACGATTGTTCTGGTAAAAGATATCCATTAGGTTAATTAATCAGCATTTCAAAGCATTTTCTTCAATAATTATAACATGGATCATCGAGTACGCATTCATCGTAAGCCAAGGCAAAGAAAAAAATCATTCTAATAAAAGCAATTCGATACTCGTCGAAGGCACGTATAGTAAAAATGATTAAATCCGGCTTGTTGGCGAATGATGAATAGTAGCTAGAATGCGAATAACTATGTAGAAAAAAAATAAAATAAAACGAAGTACAAATATAGAGAAGAGTGTATGTTGCAGAGCTACTGAAAAAATGTCACCAAATTTCATTGAGGGTTGACTAATCTTATTTGTTGGCGTAACCAAAGATAAATCTCGTCTACTGATATTCTTTCATTCAATCGTGAAACTTTCACATTGAAGCGTTGATTCTTGAGAAGCAAAAAGCATTGCCTATGTCATTGAATAGTTAATAGGTTATATTTCGAGTATCGAATTGACTTTCAAATATTTGAACATGATGCCGAAATTTCAAATTCGTTATATCAAATCAATTAATATATTCTTTTCAATGGCACATGTCATTCTCATTTGACAAACGGAAAAAAAAAATCAAGGAAGAGAAACAATGGAGCAAAAAAAAAAGAAAAAAGAAAAAGAAAGAAAATTAACGACTGTAAATTACAAGCAAACAAATCTAGATACAACAAACATTTCACAAAATAGTCCAAAAAGGACTTTAAAGTTTTTTTCTTCATATAGATGTTCTTATTTGACTAGATCAATATAGAATAAATTCTGTATTATTTTTTTTTTTTTATTTATTCTTCGTTAATTTTTGTTGTAATTGTAAATAGTATGTTTGCATTTGTTGAAAGATTTCTTGTTGATTTGAATCAAAAAATGGTGACATTGCATAAAATGGCAAAAACATTGATGATGTTGGATTTGTTGATATCGATGAAGAATTTAATGTATTATTATTAGTAATATTAGGATTATTAGTATTATTTCGTTTTGATAAACTAACAGGTACAGATCGTTTACGTTTTGAACATAAGTTTAATGGTTGTTCATTTTGTTTTTTTGATAAATCAAGTGGTTTAATATCATCATCATCAATATTTGTTGGTGTTAAACGACAATGTATAGCTGGTGGTGGTGGAGGTGATTGTTTTATTTGATCATCATCAGAGATTGTTGTCATTGACATACTGTTCGAATCACCTTTTTTTATTTCACAAAAAAAATATTATTTTATATGATTTACTACAAAATATATTTACTTGTTTCTTCATGATCAATAGGTGTTGATTTTTTTGTTGTATTATTATTATACAATGATGGAGCAAATTTATATTTTTTTATACAAACATCACAACGACAATCACCACGATGACGAATATTTGATGAACGAGATGATGATGAATTTTGACTTGACTTAAAAAAAGAAAAATTAAACTTTTAATTTAAAAATAAATTTTATTTTTTTTTTTTACTTCGGATTTAATTGAAATTTCATTTTCATTATCACTACCATCTCGAGAATCAAAATCAGAATCAAATTCTAAAAAAAAAAAATAAACAGATATATTTTCCTATTCTTTCTATATATGCATACCAGTAAAACTTCCATCATTATTAAAAACAATTCGTCGATTACTACGAACAATTCGATTTATTGATGATACACTTGGTAATTTATCCGATGGACATATGCCTTCTTTTTGAAGACTTTCACGAATTTGCCATGCAAATATTTGAGGATTATTTCCTTTATATTCACGAATACGTCGGACAACATCAGGTGTAGCTACTTTAGGCTTTGAACCACCAATTAAACCAGGATGTGTTGTACCAAATAGACGATATCTATTGTTTTTTTTTGTACATAAACAAAAATATTTATTAATTGAATTTTTTAAATCGAACAAAAAAAAATAAAAATATCTATATTAGTCATGCAGTATAATCCATCACCGTAAAATTTTATTATTCTTATTTTTTGTTAAATTTATATCTCTTACGCTATAATCGAAGAAGAAATATCTTGAGAAAATTATTACATGAATTTTTGTTTTTTGTATAATATTTAGATTTTTATTTTTTTACCTTTTTAATATTTTACTAACACAACCATGTGATACTTGAAGCTAAACAAAAAAGAAAATAATGTAAATTGAAAATTTTGTTTTTTATATTTTTACTTGACGACTTATTTCACATGGACGTACACCACTTTCAGCTAATTCAACTATTCGTTCACGTGTATCAGTTGGTAATGGACGACCATTAATAAATTCACCACCTAATTGATTCATTGATGATGAACAAAATCGATTTTTTTCTAAATAAGAAAATAGATAATTCAATGATTGTTAATAATTGATTTAAATCAATTAAAGAAGAAACAAGAAAAAAAAAATAAATTACTTACGTCTTTTCAGGCTATTGGAGGAAGTGCTGCTTGCTGAATCTCGAAATTTATCGTAAGCTAGAAAAAAAGAAAAAAAAAAAAGAAGAAAGAAAGATTGAATCATAACTCATCATTTTCTTTTTCTACTTCTTACCATTATGTGTCAATTCTGTTATTCCATTATTGCTATTCTCAATTTTTTCGTCACTACTATCAGTAACTTTTTTCTTGTTATGATTATTATTATTCTGATCAGTTGAATGCTTATCAGTCATAGTTGTATCAGTTAGTGACAAAAAGAAGAAGGAAAAAAAAAGAAAAGAGAAAAATACAGCTAATAGTAAATGTTTGTCATGATCTGAAATAAAATATATTATATAAAAACACGTACTTTAGTAAACTCAAGTTTTTTTTTTTTTTCTTTTTACCTTATATTTAACATATTTAGTTGTGCATGATTGATGCACACTCATTTCATTACTTTTTCTTTTGCTTCTCTTCTTTAGTATACTTACAGTTAACAAAAAAAATAAAAAAATGGTATCATATTCTGAATTTTTTTTTTTTTTGCTTTACTTTAAATGAAGAGTGTTACTGTTGCTGCTTGACTGGCAACAGCCGAAAAAAAAAATAGAAGGACATTTTTCAAGATTATAGATGCGGCTGTCGTCATCGCCTACACTCCCCTCTCCTCATTAACGATCGGTTTTGTTCACGCACGAGTTCTCTTCGTTGCCGTTAATACTGCCTTTCCTCTGCCTCTCTTGCTCTCTGAAGCAAGCAGTAGCGTCCATGTATAAAGAACAAAAATTATTTGCAGAAAAAAAAAAAACAGGAGAAAGAAGAAAACGCCAGACGTGCATGCGTTTTGTGCACACACTATAAAAGAGACAGGCAGACAGACAGACAGACACGCTTCATCTACTCAAGTAATCAGCCGCTCGGCAACACATTCGCATCAATATATATGGTTAATACCACCATCGTCATCAGAATCAACATTGTTGACAGTTGATAATTATCAAAATAGGGAAAAAAAGAAAGAATTAAAGAGAATTCGCATCAGCGTGACTAATTACATGTGTATCAGAGCGAATAGCAAACGATGTCTTGTATGTCTATGATTAAAACGAGAAGGACAGGTTATTTCTTGTTTTTTTTTTTTTTGAGACAGACAAATATGTCATAGTAAAAAAAAAAGACGTTGAGAAGGAAGAAGAAAACGACGAAGAAAAAAGAAAGAAGAAAATAAATGATGAGGAAGAAAAAAAGCGTGTCGACAACAGTGTGCTGTTTATGCATGAAAGACAATGATTTTTCTTCTCATTTGTTTGTACCCTTCATTTTTTCGCATTCACCTAGTTTGGCACCGTGTATGTTTATGTGTATGTGTTTGTGTGTATGCCTAGCAATGATGCTATACAGAACGCGATCGACAAACGAGCGACATTTATATATATATATAGGAAAAGAGAGAATGATGGCGTCGTTCGTTGTTCATCATGTGGAACGAATCTTATTCCTCTCCATTTTTTTTCTCGCTTTCTCGTTTTGTTCCTGATGTTGATGCATTTTCTCTCTCTCCCCCAGACATATCATCAAGTAACAGCGACCCCTCAACATTAACCTATAAAAGAGAAAAAAGTGCTTACATACCCACGTATATACATACTCACTCAAAGGCTCGATCATGCGTTGATCTACAATATACAAAAAAAAAAAAAAAAGGAATGACGCAAAGCTTTCGGCTGTCTACTAAAGGATTAGACATGCAAAACCTTGACACAAACTATGGTAGCTATGATAGACAACTCAATTAGATCGATAAATCGAGGTTGTCAATTGAGTGAGAAATAAAAAAGAAAAAAAATTGAAGAATAAGATACGAATTACGAATAACAAGAAAAAAAAACTTATGTTGAATAGTGATGATCGTTAGAGACAAAAGAAATATTAGGAAGTAGAGAGAATGATGCGTGTTGTATTGCGCCGGTACAGTGGTTGCTATTTACTATAGACCAACAATGCGCAAACGCAAGACAACGAGAAATAGTAAGTAGTAAGCGAAAAAAGGTGATCTGTTCTAGTCCTTTATTCATCTATCTCTCTTTTTTTTTTTCTCTCTCTCTCTCTCTCTCCTTCATTTTATGTATATTGCTCGCCCTATTGGCTTTAGTTCACTATTATTGGTGATGAAATCATGTATACACTCGATTCTTTTCTCGTTCGTATAGCTTATAAACATGCATACATCGATAATAATAGTATAGTACAGTTCTGTGATGGTTGATGATGTGGGTGTAACGATCGTAGAGTGCCATATGTAAGTGGCATAGAATGACACGCATCACGGTTCGATTACGCTCTGCTGTTGCTGCCACTATATGGCACGTCTGCGACGAAGCGAACAAGCGTGCGATATATACATTCATGAAAGGGAGAAGAAAAAAAGAAGAACGAGAGAGAGAGAGAGAGAGATGATTATATTCTCTATGTATGGTATGCGGGCGCGAACAAACGTTAGTGCCACTCTCCCATCTCACCGACATATAGACGTATTTATAACTACACAGGAGTAGTAAATGCATGTATCTTTGTCTTGATGACAGCGAGACAAGCTTTAACGAACGAACGAACGAACGAATAAAATAGATGATGATATTTAGACACCTGTGTTTGTTCAAGATAATAAGACTATTGGTGATAGTTGTCATCATCGTCTCGCTCGGAGAATTTTCTATGTTTCTTATTTATTTCTATTTATATAATCTACTTGTTTAGTATATATATCTATGCATGAATTATTTTATTTCTTCTTCATTTCAACACAATATATAGTTACACTTACCTACTCACCATCTTTTACTTTCGTTTTTGTTGATGTCGTTCTCATTCTTTCTTGGTTTCTTTTTTTTTTTTTTTTTCTTCTTTTTGATAGATACAAAAAACGGCACGCCGTGTGCGCTTATACTCTCGTCGCGTTGTCTCATTTCGTTTGTTCCGTTCTCGACGGTTTGGTTTCGCTTTGCGAGCTTTTAATCTTTTTTCCCCTTACCGTATACGTCTGTGTATATGTGTGCTCGCTTCGCTTTGTCTTTGTCAGCTATTGATTCTCTACAAACACACACACACAAAAACGAGTACACGCTTACGCACACACTCACACATAGCCGATGATGGGAAGAGGGGCGCACCGAGGAGTGGGTGGAAGAACGATCGAGAGAGAGAGAGAGAGAAGATCACCTCATACATTATTGCACCAGATGACTGTTATGCTGCTTACACGATATATATAACAGTTGGAGGCCAGCGCATTCTCGCATTTCGTTCCGTTCGGGTGACGACAATGATGACGTCCCGTTGAGTAGCACTTTGACGCAGTTATGGAGATATAATTTTTCTTCTACATCCTATCCTTTACTACTCGTATACTTATTCTTCTTTTTCTTAATACAATATTTCTTACAGATTCCTTTGCGTTCCTATGAATGCCATATATATATATTTATGTGTATATATATATGTGTGTGTGTGTGTGCGTATATCTCCAGAGACCGTAAAAATATGCCATGCTTCACTGCAATAGATAGTAGGTTGGTCGATCTAACGCGCATATTGGTGTATGTGTAAGCGAGTTCATCACAAGCATCAAATAAGAAAAAAAAAAAGAAGAAAAGGGAAAGCAGAGATATATATAAAGAGAGAGAGAGAGAGAGAGTGGGGAAAAAGAGAGTGAAAAAAGAGACTCATGCATGCATGAAAGCACGTAGTCGTCTTATCATCAATTCATCAATGCCACTAGTAGAACTCGGTTGATTTAGAAGAGTAAAGGGTCGACCGACCTAATGAGTAATGTTTCTATTTTACGCTTGAACGATATGGATCCTATACATTGTGTCCGCAAGAAATTTCAACTAGTCATTGTAGCAATCAAAGATACTCATATATATATATATAGATAGATATAAATGCATGTGCATGTGCGTGTAGCACGAAAGAATAAGGTAGATCGACAGAATATAGTGACTGGTGTAATCATTTTCACTGTTCGGATGGATGACATGCATTTGATGAGCGTCAGTCAAGTGTGTGCGTGCTGTATTTAAACTCATTTCGATTAAAAGAGTGTATGTGTAGGTGTATAGGAAGAAGACGACGATGACAGCCAAGTCGTGATCATCGAACTCCCTGAGTGACTTAAAAAAATTGAATGAATAAATGAATTGTTCTACAGTAGAATTATCACATGAAACGATAGACCTATATGAATTTGACTACATCAAAAAAAAAAAAAGAAACGCACAATATATATACATATTAATGATAATTATCATTAAGTTTTTAAAAAGAAAATCAAATCTTATTTTCTATCAATTAACTATGTTAAATATATATATATATGAAGATGTGTGTTTTTTTGTCTATTGAGTGATTATAGAAGCAAAAAAAAAAAACAGAAAGTTGTGAAAGAACACTTTCGTTAATCATTATATCGAAGAAAATAAAAAAAATAATGTATTCTTATTCAAAATAACTTAATATAACATTAGTAAATATTTCTTACAATATTATATTTATTAAAAAAAAAAACGAAAGAAATTAATTATTGAATTTTATTCTTTTTAACAAAAATTTAAAAAATTCAATTTTTTATATAACAAACAAATCTCAATGTTACTTACCTATAAGAGAGTATGCTATTTATTGAAGAAGATTATAATGGTAAAAAACAAAAAAAAAAAATCTATTGTTATATTAATTTCCAACTAACATTAATAGAAATAATCGAATTTCATCACATATAGAGGTCGCAAAGAATAAAAAGTATTTTTGAATTAGAATGGACTATTAAAATTACCAATCATATTTTATTAAAAAAGAAAATATATTTCATCATTCTAGTCTTTCTAAAAAAAAAACAAAATTTATTATTAAACATTATGTTAAATGTTTATATTAATTTATAAATATCGATACATTATTAATGGCACAATGAGGATGAGTATTGTTAGTGATATAATTTAATGTGAGTATGTTAGTTTTGAATCTGAACTTACGTAAGATTTTTTAAAACAAATTCTAAATCGTCGAATTTTCAATTCGATGAAATAAGATTATAATTTATTTATGAAAGAGATATTAAACAATAAATTTATCTTTGATTTTTTTTTCTTTACCATCATAAATGTTAAAGCGAATTCAAAAGATGGTTTTGTAGTTTTTCAAAAAAATGAAATTCAAGTTTTTTTTATCTTATTGAAATATTCAGAATGAT